AAATAAACTGAATTGAATCTGGAAAATGTGACTAACTACCAATATCTACTTTAATATGCAGAGTATTTATGCTTATGTTGGAGGTGGTGGTGTGAGATTTAAATTTAGTCTCAGTCCGAAGATTTCCACCATTTACTGTCATTTTAACAGACATATGAGAGGAACTTTAAGTTAATAAACACGATACTTCTAATATATTAAAACTTTACATAATCTTAAACATGAAAATACTACCAAAGCAGAAGTCCAGTTATGGTACATGTTGTACCATAAATGTAATAAAGATAGATAAAACACAGCAGTACATGATGGAGCCAGTTATGCTGTAGGCTTTTTATGTGTAACCACATGCTGTTATTTTTCAAACGAATAATGAATTTCCTAAAGATAAAACATATTTTTCACCCAACGAGAAAAACTGGAGAGTTTTATGTTATATCAGACTTTATTATTGAATTAGATTATTTTCTTATTAGGCAGGCGCAGAATGCCAATTTGTCCCATTATTTTCGGATTAGAAAGCAACATTAATGATATCGATGGCTTGCCATACACATTACTGTTTATTACATGTCTGCACTTCTGTCAGAATTCTGACTTAAAATATTTTAAGTGGAATAATTGCCTTTTACAACTTCATGGAGTATTTTATATAATAATCATGTACTAGATACAGATTTTTTTTAATCTGTCTCTTTTATGAGACATTGACATTTATGCATTTTGTGATATAATTTTACCCTCTGTATACTTCAGGGATCAAATCCCAATGATTGTAAAAACCTTCTCAGGGCCCCCTTCTTGGTGTCCTGCGACCCCCACAATTTTGGAAGCCCTGATTTAGCCCATTCTCTTTTTTTTTGTCATTCAGCTTAATCTTAATGGCTGAGGCACAAAGAGTAAACTTTTTGAGGTATCGTTACCTTGGTGTATTCCCCAGAGAGGAAGCTCTGCTCAAAGCCGCTGTACATGGTGAGAGGGATGAGCGTCAGGAGCCTCCAGTCCTTCAGCAGCCTGAATGTGGCCAGGAAGGTTTTGCAAAGCGGCTCCTTTTTCTCCCGAAACTCGCTGGCCTGCTGCTTGTCAATGTTGTCCAGAAATATTGCCACAATGAGCATAGCCAGAACCCCGACACCTAAGAGATAGAGACCGATTCAATAGAAGGATGATGGCCAGGTGAAATGTAAGGCAAGAACAGTTATTTTTATTTAATCTAATGCCATGAATTAAACTTAAATAATACCAATGTAGCACCCAACAAGCGTCCACACAAGTTTCTGTTCTGGTCTCTTGCTGGTGCTGTTGACAGCAATAGTGAGGCCACAGTCAGCTGCTCCGCAGGTTTCTAGGATTTCCTCTGGGATGTCAGCTGACAAAAATAAATAAATAAATGAACACATGAATCGGCTGAAATACAGTAAAATATCAATGCAGAAACACTTTTCTGTGGTTTTCATTTGCTTTTAGAAAATGTGCTAAACTAAGGTTTTATCAGAGAGTTGATAATGAAAATTTAAATATTTCCATGTATCTTTAAAGGGGAACGCAAAGAAAGTTTAGCTTTTTTTTTATCTTTTCTTCCTTTTTTTTTTTTTAGAAGTTTAGTATTGGCTCTGTTAAAATATTCTTTTTTTGCATTTTGAAGTTGAACATTTTTTATGAAGATATATAAAGTTGTTTTTTTTGCATTCTGTTGCTTAAACATCACTTGAATATTTTTTTTTTATTAAGAATAGAAAATAGAAAAGTAAAATCAGAGTCAACTTTAATCCCCAAGTTTTTTTAATTCCCACCCAAACAAAGTTCACTTTGCTTTAAAAAATAAATAAATCACTGATCTATTTATGCTGTACATTTATGAAATAGAAAAGGTTTTGTTGCTGCAAATGAGCCTGGTGTCATTGTCTGTTTGCTCTCTAGCACCAACCTGAGCATAAAAGTCTGAACGGTTTGTATCCAGGATGTGTGGGATCTGCAGGGATGTTAGCTTCCCTTTCTCTGACCTTAGACCGCTATAGATCCGTGACAGATAGAAGCTCAGCCCTAGTGATTGGTTGCAGTTTGGACCTGTCCTTTTTTTGTAGACGGACCAAACCACAAAAAAAACAGACTGAATGATGGCGGTTTAGACCTCCGTATTTCTTGAGTGTCTCTGTTGGGCATTTATATGCGAGGACCATCTCAGCCTGTGAGAAAGGGTGGTTTGGTTCCTTTGAGTCGGAAGTAATCAACAGCAAATGCAGTGTTGTTGAGGATGGTTTAGGAGAGGGAGTGTCTAAACTAGGTCAGAACAGAAGGAAAATAAAACAGGAATGTCCTTCCAGGAAGAATTTACCAGTTAGTCATTTATAAACTGATAAGAAAGCATTAAAATAAATCTAAATGGTAAAAATCATGCATTTACACCTTTCTCAATTTCCTCTAGACCTATGATAACTAACCTAGAGGAAATGGGACAGACCTCCACTGGAAAAACAATCTAGAAATAAGTAAAAAGTTCCTTAAATTAAGTATATTTACCCTTAATTTGAGTAGGTATGCCAATGGAATTAGTATTTTTTTTCTCTTAAAATAAGATAATTAGGTAATATGAACTTTAAATAAGACAACGCAATTGTGTTTTCTAATTTTAAGTGTAAATTGTCTTGTTCCATTGGCAAAATGTAACTTTTACCTCCTCTTTCAAAGGAACAAATGCACTTAATTTAAGAAATAATTACTCATCTAGATTTTGATTTTTTCCAGGCTTTTCTCATGTCTTAGAGCTTCTTTCATATAAGCACAAGAAAAAAATCACATTAAGCTTTGGCATTGCTTATATTGACTAGAAAAAGCAGATGCTGTTGATCACGAGTATTAGCCAACTGACTTTTATAAGGTTGCTAATCTTAAAGCAAAGCTACACAACGCTAGTGTGTAAAGGTGTAAACAATGACCATAGAGAAGCAACTGGTGGAACCAGTTACTCGGGGAGGGGTTGAGGTTGATGAACTTCTTTAAGCTCATCTTTCTGCAAAGGAAAACAATGGCGGCTACAGTTCCGAAAGCTGAGCTATTTCTCAGACAGCAGGCCTCACAGTTACCATTTTAAATAACGTTTATGGTAGGGCAGTTAGAACATGTATGATCTAGCCGCTGGAAAAACGAAAAAAAGATGCTGTCAAGCACGGAGGTGGAGGTGTAATGATATGGGCTTGATTTGCTGCCACATTCACTTCGTCATAAAAGGGACAATGATCCAAAAACAGCAGCAATTCTCCTAAAGTGTGGATGAGAAAAAAGAAAACAAAAAATGGTGGAATGGTCCAGAAAAATTCTAGTTCGTCACCTGATTGAAACACGTTTGGAAACTTGCAAAATTCAAAACTCATCAGGGCTGAGGCCATGTTGAAAAGAAGATTGGTGTTGAATTTCTTGTATGAAAGAGGAAATGCTGCAAAAAGGGGTGAACTTAGTTTTTCTAGTTGGTATTTCCAATACATACATAACCTGCTTACAGATAGTGGTGTCCTGCCCAAAGATGAGCGACGACATCAGGTTTCCCCAAACTGCTGATGACTGGAAGATGAAGAAGAAGATCCCAAAGTAGTGGTTGATTATATCTGAACCCTTCTTGTTCTCCTTAGCAGCTCGCAAATTCCCAGAGATGGTCAGGTAGGTGCATTTAGCCGACCACAGAGGAGAACCGCCCAAACCCAGGATGACTGAGGTTGGCATAAGAGTGTACCTGTGATAGAGCAGATCAGACGGAATGTGGAAACTGGTGCATAACGAGGAAGAAGGTTTCTAACCAAAACTGTAAATATAAGAAAAATGGACGTTTTTTATGAGTCCATATTTTTAATTAGACTCTTACCATCCAGGGTAGAGATTTCCGAATGAGTATGACACATAACAGGCCATGCCGGCAACGATGGTCCATTTACAGCCCAGATTTTTGATCATGATGGGGGGCAGAAACATGGAGGAGATGATGATGGAGGCGTAGATGACGCTCAGGGATGCAACACCCATCCCCTGCTCTGCATTTAGACTGCTCTGCATGAGGAAAACATTTAAATAATGAGAAATGGAAGAGGGTGGAATTTAGGGATGTAAACAAAATATTGTTTCATTGTGGATTTATAGTTTCTTATATTAAATTATACTGCTTAATTGGATATAAGGATTTAGACTGTTTATAAATATGAATACTTGATAAACTCCGTGAAGAGGATTGTAAAGTTTTCTGATTATACTGAACACTGAACTGACTTTTCTGCTTGGTCTTTTAGCTTGTGTTTGTACTTTTTTATTTTTATTTTTTACTTTTTTCACCTCTTGTGGAGTTACCATTGGCATTTGAGTTGAGCTGGATGCTTGTCAAAGTCCATGTTGTATATAACACTTTGATTGTTTTCTATGTCAGACCCATTAAACATGGATGCCCTTGAAGTAACATCCCTGAACAGCACGACCAAAGGGCAATAAAGGAAAATAGGCTACAGGCTTAAAGGTGCATCAGCGATGAACTAGTGAGGTGTCACTCTGCTCCTCAAACGATGTTTTAATCAAATAAAAAGATATTTTTCAGTAGAAATGCACAAAATGTCTCTTTAAGTTATCACCTAAATAGCTTCCATTTAGCCGTGCTGCATGGCGGAGCAGCGTAACTTCGCTGCTGCTCATAGTTAGTTCATTGAAACAAAGTGGTAATCTGATAATGTTTCAGAGCGACATAACCAGTCCTTTAACCCTGTAATGCCAAATGTATCATATTTGATACATACGGTTTCTGAAATGTTTTGCGTCTGACACCTTTTGCATAATTTAATGGTAAAAACTTTGCTCAAAATCCTATTGCACACAATCAGATATACCTGATAACAGAGGGCAGAAGACTACACAAAAAAACATTTTGACTTATCGCATATAATTATTAATATCAAAAAAGTATTTCTGTTTTTTCTTTTTACATATTTTGTTAAAAGGCCAAATAAGGACTTCAAACCAAAAAAAAGTAATTTTCTGTTTTGTTTTATTCTTGGATCGGGCTTTAAAGGGTTAATGATAGTTTTACATCTCTGTACAGTGAAAATTTAGTTCTTTTTAGTTTAGAAAGCTTCCTGTTTTATATCTTATAAATAAGTTTAATAATGTTTAATGAAACATTTTTATTTTCTTTAGTTCTTCTGTTTTTACATTCAGCATATTGTATATATATATATAATCTGTTATTTTCATTCTTAGTCGAATATGTGCAGTGGAATGCCAGCCTTTTTAGTATTAGTATTTTTAGTGGGATTTTGGGAAAAGGTTCAGAGTAGAAACTCTTTTCTTCATAAATGTGTTTGTAATCATTCACATTTTTTGACCTACATTTGCATTATAATGATCTTGATAGTTGTTTGCTACACAAGACCATTTGTTTTTTTTTATTGCCAATAAACTTCATCGCTTAGTGGCAAGCAACAATTTAAGAGCAGCGATAATCGGCTACTCGTAAAATATAACAGGAGATAATCGCTCGTGTTTTAATGGAAGTTCCTGACTCGTCTGGTCCGAGATTAGCTTTGATTAAACTTAGACACACAAAAAGAAACAGAAACAAGCAGTATTTTTTTTTTTTTGGAGTTAATTGTGGATTAAAGTTTACAATTAATCAATATTGTATTTTTTTCTTAGCCTCTTACACCCTAAGGGGGTATAAATAAATTTCTGCCTGACAAAAACACACAAAAGCAAACAACTTATAGCCTCAAAGCTATTAGATTTAAGAAGAAACCTTTGGTACCTCTGTAAAGGTAAGATGTCATAGAATGGTTTTCTGGTGTCAGCACCATTGTAGCTTTGACCCTGCCTGAAATATTAGGGACAAAATACAAAATATT